AGCAAGTTTCTTTCAGTCTGTTTTTCCAGATGCATCATCAGCATCCGCATGTTAGCAATTTTTCATTATTCATAAATGTATTACAGGAACACAGCCAAACTACAAGCCAAGAAGCCTAACACACACATTTTTAAAAATAGGGAATGTGTCTTGGTTATAGAACAAAAGAACTCATTTTATCACTTGGCTTTACCGCTTGAGAAAATGGCTCCTGGTGTGCTGAACTCCATGATAAATGTGCCCCCTCTAGATCTTTATTGCCCTTGTAAATCAAAGGACTGACAGCAGTTAATAAGAAAGCTTTTGAGTGGTTTTGAAGTTTTGCTTTGTACAAATAAAATCTCATATTAAAGAATTTGCTAGTCCTCAAGGTGTGGAAAAATGAGTATGACTAGAACCTGTTGTGCTTTCTTTTTTTTAACTGTTTGTTTCCACTATTTTCAAAAAATCATTTTGTAGCAAGGGTACCAGAACAAAATAAGCCAATCACCCTGTATTGAAATATAAAAATTAGAGTCAGTGACTTAGTTATTAAAAAAAAAAAATCAAAATCTTTCTGGCATTTCTGTACCCTGTGATGTCTGGACAGGGCAACAAAATCAGAAGTGTACAATATAAAACATGAAAGACACTTCCATAATTTTACATTAGATGTTGACAATACTTCTACAAACCGTTTTTCACTACAGAAAGCGACGATTCTACATCCAAAAATTATCCGTCGAAATTCCCCTGTGATACTGTTGTAGGGAGGATAGGATTATTTGAGTCACCAGCTAACCCACTGCTATGGACAAAAGTTTTTAAATCCATTGGCAGAAACAACAGCAATATTCACAGATGGCCAAATTACGGTAAGTAGCACAAGTTCTACTTATATATGCACCTTTTGGTCAAGCAACAGTACCCTATAGGGAAACAAACAAATAAATTACTACAACACAAATATTTAAAGATCATATCATAAAGTGAACAGATCAATTTATAATTATAGACTTAAAAGTCTCCGTTAGAGATTACATTCTAGAACAGACATTTGGAAAAAATGGTTATGTGTAGGTCTTCAGAAGCAAACTGCAGTTTGGATAAGGACACTCTATGGCATCATGCATTGAGTATACAGCATCAGCATTGCACCGAATTACAGTTTAACCAAAACAAATTAGAATTAATGTTGTGGTGGCTTTCTGTTTTGCTTCCATGGCTTGCATTATCCCTGTTCAATTCCAGGCAGCACCATTCCTTCTAAAACAGCTTATGGCACACCCTGGCTGAGGAAATCTTAACAGGAAGCTACCGTTATTTGGACAAAGCTAAACATATTTATAGGGAAATAAGTATATTTCCTGTTCAAACTGGTAGCACAAAGGTATTATGTGACAAACTATCAACAGGTCTAAAGAAAGCCTAGCTTCTCTTGACTGGATTTTAAACACGTTTTAGAAGGCATCTCAACAAAAATAAATGTTAGTGGACATTGTCTCTTTAACTGTTCAGTTGTTCCCCCCCCCCAGTCCTAGGAAAAATAAAGCGGGGTTTTTCTTTTAAAACAAAGACAACCAATATTAAAGGAGCACATTAATAAGCATCATTTATGATTAGGATCCAAAGCATCAGGCATCAATATTTTCCAGCAGCACGGATCTTTTGTCGCCAAAGTCCCAAGGATGTCACTTATCACTAGCAGACACCGGAAAGCTACAGAGAAAAAGCAAATCAGACTGAAGTGTTACTGCCTTCTGCATGATTTACCCTTCTCCCTACACCCCGAGCCTGCCCTGCCCACAGCCCACCATCTGCTTGCTTATGCAGTTTTCCTTCATGCACTCTGCCCTTTAGGTAGGTAGAGAACCCTCTTTATCTGGGAGAGACTCAGCGACATGGATAATCAAACCTTTCTTCCTGAGGAGAGGCTACTGATCAGCAAACAGCAGCTCCTTCTCAGACAAGATGGAAAAATACACATCAAGAGCTATACACAAAGCAGGCTGTAAGTCTGGAGGGGGTAGCCTGCCGCACAGCCATCCAAGGCTCGGTTCATGGCCTTGATGAACTGTGGTGTGCTGGTATTTTCATTTAAAGCACTGGTATGTTTCTAACTCTCATCATTGGAAAGCACACCTAGAAATACAAACTGAATGTACTCGGTAAATGTATGCCTTCCCTAGTCTGTAGATGATCAGACTCTTCCGTGATTCTGCCAGCAGAATTACCTCCATTTGCTTTTTCCCCTATTACAAATTTCCATCACTGCCCCCACCCCAATATTAACAGATTGAAAGGAGAAGGCAAGAGATAAGGCCACTAAAAGTGTCCCTCAGCTGTGTTATTGTGGTTTTGTAGGGCAGCATTAGTTAAATTAGAAAACAGCTGGCAAGCAGAGGCTCCATAAAGCCGTACTTGATGGCTGCCCAGAGAACATGTCACCGATCTAATAAGGATCGAGGCCCAAACACGACACAGGACATTTCACAGAAATAAAAACCAAGTTTCTGAAACATCTAATTACGTCACAGTTTAAAGACAAATACTAATTCCTGATGGAAGGTCCAACGTTCCCAAAGAAGTAGTGTGATCCCCAGGGCTGGAAAAGAGGTCAGAACATGACAAAAGATGTAGAAACTACACAGAATCTGGGTACCAACAGTTTTCTTCCTGCAGCTGACAGTGGCAGATCTTGGTTTAGAAAAGCCTACAAAGGTGTCCTTCTGTGCCACCAGTAAGTATAACCTTGCACTTGAGGAGAGTTTATAACACCTAACAAATCACAAGGAAGAGAATAACGGCAAAAAGTGAATTCAGAACGAAATTACAGGTGGCACGATTCAAGGCTGTTCACTTTCTGCAAACGAACTTTCTTCTAAAATGCAGTCATAACTGCTACTACAGGAACGGGACAGCTAGCTCAAACATCGCAGATGTCCTTCTCCACAGACAGCATAATGTTTCTTTGCTGCTGACTTCCCCCTTGAGGTTATCAAGGCCATTATTAAAGAAAGACTAGAGGTTGGTTTAGCATCTATAATCATGAATTTTATTTTTAAACTACTTTATGATGATTTATTCTTATTTTTCAATCCAGAAATTATTCTTAAAACTCTGAAAACAGTTATGTGTGAGTTTTGGGTTTTGTGGGGCGCTTTTTTTGTTTGTGTTTGGTTGGTTGGTTGGGTTTTTTTAAACAAAGTAAAAGCCCAGCAATTAATGATGGAATCACTTGTTCCATTTAAAGAACAAAACACAGCTCCCTCCCTCCCTCCTTCAGGTCAGTTGCCAGGTGCTCGTGTACTGCAGAACCTCTCTAAACTTTGAGTTTCAGCTCAGCAATCATGAGCCAAATCATATATAAGTATTGATGTTTGCCACTCTACAGTTAAATTACATCAAGCATCAATGCAATCAACTCATTAGCTGTTTTTTATTGAGCACCAGCATTCATTACTTCTCAATTCTTTGATTAAGCAACATATTGCCTGTATTCCCAGTCTACATCTACCAGCTGATTAGCTCAATAATACTGATAATCTTCTCAAGTCAAAAGAGCTGGGAAGGGAAGTAACTGAAATCCCTATGAGCAGACTCAATTTACTCCTTTTGTGTATAACATCAATACACTAAACTACTAGCAATACAATCCAGCAAATGAAACTTCAAATGTGCTAAGTTAGAGAGTAATCTTAACAAAAAGTCACAGCAGGTCATTAAAACGCCCCTTAATTGTCTCTAGATCATACTCTGTTATCCTTCAACAACCTTCCTGGCATGCTGAGATTTTAAATCTCTTCTGACTGACGCAAGAACCAAGAACAGAATTGAAGTGTGATTGTCACAAACGGAGTCTGAATGCCAAAGGTCAAAACAGCTTACTGGTATGCTGGCCCACTGCTCCAAATTTTATATCTTTTCTGTCCCTCGGTTATTGCCTGACATGATTTAACAACTGTAATTCCTTATTTAACGATGTCAAAGGTTTTTAGGAAATTGACTGTATTTCACCAACGATATATTTCTTCTTGATTACAGAGTGGTTAAGATGATTTTAAACCAAGACAGCAAAATAAAGCAGTAATAAAATCAATAAAAGGTGCTTAAAACATTCCTTCTATTAGGTAATGGCATTTAAAATATCCGTAGCTTGTAATGGCACTTAGGATATGCCCAAAAATCAATGAGCTAAATTACTTATTGAACTAGTTAATTTGAGCATTGAGTTTTATATGTATATTGATAAAACAAGCTACAAGAATACCAGCTACGTTCGAATTCCACGGTCAGATGTCTCCCTCTGCTGGAAAAAACCTCGAAAATCGCGACCAGAGATTTTTTTTGAAGGCGACACTAAAGACTGTAACGTCTAAAAGTCTCCACAAGAGGTCTCTAATTCTCGTAGAGTTTGTAAGCGAACGCTGCTTTTGCTGACATCTGCCAAGTGTTAAAAGATGCTAAGCGGCAACGCAAAACTTCAGGTTTCACCCAGAATTTGGTCAGACCTGAGAAATACGCAAAAAACACGTAACATGTGGGAAAAGTGCAGAAAATAAGGGATATCATAATGCTTTAAAAACAGCGAGACTATCCTCAAGGATTGTGCTAATACTTTGCATGTTAATAATTGTAGTTATTAGTACTTCCATGGTAGGTTCAGGAATAACAGCCTCGGGTTCTATTTTCTTGCTGGAAGTAAAGTACAAAAGACAAAGCCCTGTGTCTACACAGAGGTGCAAAAACCCTCCTACAAAGACTAGCCTAAGCACTCAGCGTAGCTCAGAGCCTGCTTCGCCTTTACATCGAGGAATGCTGTACTTCCGAGAGGAAAAACGTTTACAAAGAGAGAGGCTGAAAGCTTGCCAGCAAAATGAAACAAATTATCCTAACATAATCCCCTCAGAAGAAAGCAAACACCGACATAGTAAATATTTCCGCTTATTAACGTAAACTTCTGTCCCTGCTGTACTAGGAGCCCTGAGGTTACCTGAAGCTCTGGAAGGAGAGGCAGGGCGATGGAGTTTTTCCAGCCTGGGCCGCGACAGCTCCCGGAGCCGCGGACAGACGGGGAGCGGAGGCAGAGCGCGCAGCTCGGGGCAGGATACCACCCCGTAACGTGCCAGCAGCGCGCTCGCTCTCTACCGGGGTGAGAGGACAGCACCCCGGCATTTTAAACCTGCAGTCTAGGGGTAACGGTCACGTTATGGCACCGTTCTGAGGCCGCGCTCTCCTTTTTTGAAAGGTCATGGTGATTAGGAGACGGCCCCGACAACTGGGAAAAGGCAAACGCCACGCTCAGAGCCCACCAGAGCAGCAGAGGGAGCCGGGGAAGGCGGCCGGCCCCTGAGACCGCCGTCCCTGCAAGGGTTATGGGGCAAACGCTCCTGCAGGCCATTCAGTCGGCAGGCGGACGAGGGACCCGCTGGCTGGGGCCGGAGGCGGCTCGGCGGGGCTGCCCGCCTCCCTCCGCCCCTGCCCCCCCAGACCTGCCGCCCTTGCACCAGTCCCACAGCCACCCCCCATCGCCTCCTGGGCCCCCACAGCCACCACC